TATCATATCCATCCATCCATCCATCCATCCATCCATCCATCCATCCATCCATCATCTATCATCTATCATCTATCCTCTATCATCTATCATCTATCATCTATCCTCTATCATCTATCATCTATCATCTATCCTCTATCATCTATCATCTATCATCTATCCTCTATCATCTATCATCTATCATCTATCCTCTATCATCTATCATCTATCATCTATCCTCTATCATCTATCATCTATCATCTATCATCTATCATCTATCATCTATCATCTATCATCTATCTATCCATCTATCATCTATCTATCTGTCTGTCTGTCTGTCTATCTGTCTATCAAATATATATGGCCACCCATCTCACAAAAAGTGACTCTGGGCGGCGTACAACACTTAATTAAAAAACCATAAATATATTAAAAACATTCACTATTAAAAAATATAAAAAGCACAAGAAACAAAAGAGGATAAATGTTCATCACAGCAAGGGAGCCATCTCAAGATCTCACCGGTCCCCTGGGATCCTCAAGCCTGATGACACAGCCAGGTCTTAAGGGACTTGCTGAATGTTAAAAGGGGGATGGAGTCAACCTCACTTCTGGGGGGAGAAGATTCCGTATCCTAACCTTCTTCCGCATGGTGTCCTCCAGATGCCTTGGGTGATGCGTGAGGATACTTTCCGCCTTTCGGTTTGGGATGGACTCAACAACTGTTTCTCCGACAGAGACCCTGCACCTGGGGCTCTGAGAGTGTGCAAGGACCTGCTTCTTAGTTATGGATTTGGGTTGATATTGCTCGGCCACTTTAACTTTTGTCATGTTTAATAGTTGTCTTTATTTTATTTTAACTCTGTTCGCCACCCAGAGTCACTTTTTGAGATGGGCAGCCATATAAATTGGGTAGGTAGATAAATAAATAAGTAATGCCATCTCCAAGTGGATGGCCGAGGCTGCACTCACATATCTCTTTAACCTCACCATATATAAATGCTGAATTATTGGCTGCCTCCTCCGCCTTCCCTGAAAAAGAATTAAAATAAAGGATTCTATTTTCCCCTGAAGTAGGTTTCTTCAAAGGGGGTGTTGAGCTTCACCCAGTACTTCTGGAGGAACTGGGACACAGGCTAGTGTGGGGGACAAACAGGCCTCCTTTGCTATGCTTGACTTCTTTCAATGGCCTGTAGTTGTATGCAGTTTGGAATGATAAAGAGAAGAGTATCTAGCAGGCAGATGGATCTTTTCCATTTAAAGGGAAGTTGTAAGCGTTTGCTAGGGTTATCTGACGGGGCTGGTGTGCTGTCTGTGTGTGTTTCAGGAATAAGCAGCAAGCAAGAAAGTGGGAAAGTGTTCAGCATTACCAGCATGGTGCGCTTTCGGGTGGATCGCAAGGACCACAGCAGCATTGTGACATGTGAAGCCATCCACCCAGCGCTGCGTGGGCAGCGGAAGCAGACGCAGTACGTGCTAGATGTACAGTGTAAGTGACTGCTGGAACTCCCTGGGGAGGGGGCAGGAGAGGCAGAAAGGTTTTGCAAGCCAGGGTCAGCGAGATCAAGAAATGGAGCCATGTTGCATTTTGCATCCCGGTTGCCCTTTTTTCTTCTTTCTTGAATGAAGGAGGCAAAGATTATGATACTGGGGAGCCCTGGATCCAATATCACTTCCTAGGGGTGGGTAGCCATGGCTTGCTCCCCAACAGGCAAAGCAAACAGAATTGATTCTAGAAAAAGGTGGTTTTTTTCAGGATGGAGAAGAGATTGATTTATTGCCCTTCCCTGTATTCTCCATAGTTTAGCTACCTTCAAAAAGCTAGTTGATTCCTGGGGACTAAAATAAATACACCAGAGATGGCCAGCCTGGAGGCCCAGCCCCACAATGTCAAAAGCCTTCTGCCAGCCATCAGTTCAAATCTTGCAGAAAAGGAGATATCAGAAAGCAGGAAAGGCCAGGGTGGGATGGCAGGTCTTAGAAGGGACAGCTAATGTCTGTTTCCACCAAGATTTCATTCTGACCGCCACCTGTCCTTTACTTCAGCCCCACCAACTAATTGGCACGGGGATTCAAGAAGATGATCCCAAAGGAAAACAGCTTTTGATAGAGCCACTGATCTGTGTGGTTTGGTTCCATAAGATTCCAGATTTTTGTACCACTTCATCCTGCAAGTCTTGCGTGTGCACCATCTTTTCTTACATACTGATATTAATTCTGGGTTTATTATTTTAAAATATTTTATTTAGCAGTTCCGCTTTGGGAGCTGTGTCTGAAAAACAGCTTCTTTGTTATGCATTTCTCTTGAAATACATTTTTTTATCCTGCCTTTCTGCCTACTAGCAGGTTTCCAAGGTTGTTGACAATAAATAAAGCTCAGTGTGTAGTTTTTTTAAGGCACTGATGATGGATGAAGGGGACAGTGATGTAAAATGTTCACTCCTCGGGCTGTAGAAGTTACTGGTTTAGAAATCCAGTAAGTAAAGAAAGCAAGAACTCTGCATACATTACAAAAGTTAGCACTTTGGAAAGGAAGGTAGAGTATATAAATAGTCCTCATTTAGCAACCACAATTGAGACTGGCAACTCGGTCATTAAGCAAAGCAGTCACTAAGTGAAACTGTGACAGTGCTTATGATCTTCAGCTTTCCTTTGCTTTACAGGCCTGCAAAGGTTGTAAATGTGAGGATTGGTTGCAAAGTTACTTTTCCATCACTGTCGTAACTGAACAGTTGCTAAACAAGACAGTTGCTAAACAAGGACTACCTGTATTCCTTTCCGTGTTATACTAGCTCAGCAAAATACAGGAAAGAGTAAGAGTTGATATCACCCTAACGCACCTTGAACCCTCTGAAAGCTGAGTTGAGGAAAAATTATTTATATATAATATAGGTATACACCTATATAATCTGTAGTAGTATGCGCCAGCATCCTAAACTTGAGAACAAACAGTAAGAGCAGTTCTACTAGATCAGATTAAAAACTCATCTACTCCAATATCCTGTTTTCCACATCGATCAACCAGATGCCTCTGAGAAGCCCACAAGCAGCATTTGAACAAGTATTCTACAACAATCTGATTAGCAAACTTGTTAAGGCTAGGCTGGGTGGTGTGACAATGAAGTAGATAGCTGGCTTGAAAATCTTAGGTCAAAGAGTGTGAATAGAGTTCTTCATCACATGGGAGGGAGGGTGCCCCGAGGTTCAGTCCTGGACACTTTGCTCTCCAGCATTGTAATGACTTTGATGAGGAGGCAGAGGGAATGCTGATCAGAGTTGCAGATGACCCATGGCTGGGTGGGTTAGCTAATATCTTAGGAGACAGAAATAAAAATTGAAACAAACTCGATCAGTTGGGAAAGGGCAGAAAATAATTCCAATGTTGGACCTAGTCAAATGCAAAGTTAATATTTTAGGAAACAGATTGTACAGCTGTTGAATGAGGAATTTCTGGCTTGGCTCTAGATCTTTTGTGGAGAAGACCTTGGAATGGTAGCTTATTAGAGACGGGCATCTGAGACAGCCATGTGAAAAAAGGCAATCTGGAACTAGTTCAGACAAGGGTGAGAAGATGGTCAGAGGAGTAGAAACTAAATCCTCTGAAGAGAGATTAAAGGAACAAGGACAGCACTCTTCAACTACCTGAAAGGGTGTCACACAGAAGAATGCCAGGATTCCTTCCAGAGATCAGAAGGAGTCTGGTTGCACCTTTTCTGACTCACACACTTGATTCAAAAGCTAACAAAAGCTGCAGCTCACTAAAGTGTCTGCCTTTGAATCAAATGTGTGAGTGGGAAAAAGTGCTGCCAGACTCTGATTTTTTGCTACCATAGACTTACACGACTCTCCTACAATGTCTACAATGAGATTCTTTTAGCGAGCTATCTGAAGCACTTTGGGCCAACCTGAACCTTTTTGATGTAAGTCAGCCTCTGCCTCTGTGTTTTAAGGTGGCAGTCCTTGTTAAGGAAAAGCTACCGAGGTGAATAAATAAGTCTAAACTTGCTGTGGTGCCAGATGAGACCCCATTTCAAGATCATGCTTACAGCGTTCCTCCATCTGAAGGAACAATCGCTTCTATAGCTTGCATCCCCTTGTTCTTGAAGAGTTTGGGAATTTTTATGTGCAGAGAGCTCTGGAATCAGAGAGTCATTGAGAGTCAGGCAGCACACAAGTTTAATCTATTATTGTTGGTTGCACCGTCGGCCAGGTGTTTAGACTGGATTTGGCATTTTTATCCACGTATCGAGTCTTTCCCAAGGACCTGGAATAGGCAGATGTTGCTGTTTGATGGTGTTAAAGGTATCATTGCAGGATGGAACCTGCTCCAAGTAAAGCTGCCTTTTGCAATTGACTGATGGTGATTTTGTCAATGCCGATGGTCTTCAAGTGGTGCTCCAGATGTTTTGGGATTATCCTTATTATTATTGCTGTTCATTTTTCCTCTCTTTTTCCAGACTCACCCACAGCAAGAATCCACCCCCCCCAGGGAGTCATGAGGGAAGGAGACACCCTAGTTTTGACTTGTGCTGTTAATGGCAACCCACTGTAAGTCTTTCTGCTGGGTGGGAAAAGGCAAATTTTGGACTCATTTATGGTTGGAGCAGGAAGATCCTTGTGTAGAAAACCAGGCGGCTTTGAGATCCTGTTTTGTGAAGAGGAAGCACACAGCTGTGGCAGCAGTTACCCTGCTCTTCAAAAAGACTGATCCATTTATTAAAACTCAAATCTGGTGCTGAGAAAAGCTGAAATTGGTGACCCCTAACAAATGAGAGCGGTCAAGTGTGATATTGGAATATTTTGGGCTTCGTCAACCAAGGGTATTGATTATTAGACCAAATCTGCCTCTATCTGCATTTTATCTAAAACACTACATCAAAGACCCAACGTCCCACAAAAGACCCTTTTGCCTTTGTGTCTCCTGATGGGGTTGTCCCCAGAGCAGTTCTTGGGGCACTTCTCTGTCCTTGGAGTAGTTCCTGGAGGGCATCTGATCAGCCAGCCTGGGATCCTCCAGATCACTTGGCCTGCAGATTCCAGATTGCCAGCCAGCATGGCCAGTGGCCACGGGTGTGGAATTCTAGAGGGACCAGACTGGAAATGCTGAAATGGAATATTTTGCTTCCCTTCCAAGCACTCTGGGCATTGTAGTCTAGTGAGGTTGATATGAATACAGTCTTTAACAATGATGACTTGGAATGCTGGGACTTGTAGCCCCAAGCCATCTGGGCAGTGTCAGGCTAGGGACAGCTGACCCCCTCCAATGTTAACCGGCTTCCTTGGTCACTTTTTCCTCCTTCCTCAAGTGAAAAACTGTTGTTCTGCAGTCCTTCTGGGGAGGGGAAAGGTTGGCTGTTGGCCTGTTTCGGGCATACAGTGGGGCAAAAAAGTATTTAGTCAGCCACCAATTGTGCAAGTTCTCCCACTTAAAAAGATGAGAGAG